CAGTTCGTTCCGAATATTCGGAGCATGCTCACTGCAACTCGAACAGTCAAGCGCCGATGGCTTCTAGATGCACATTTTCCCCCTTCTGCGCGCATTAAAGGCACCGTACGCCTACGCTATATCTGAGCAAAACCCTTTCCAAAACAACGAGCAATAAAAGATCTGTACGCTATGTTTACAATTGAAATTGTCGAACCTTGTAGATGAGCAAAATATGTACCCAATTCTCATGCCCGCGCAATTCCAACCCTCGTTATATTCACCCTGCAAATCCCAAACCTCAGCGCCTAACAAGAAGCATACTAGAGCTGTGTATTCAGTAGCAAGCGCTGCCCTCCACAGAACAGCCCAAGCCAGGTCTAGATGTCTTCCTGTCAAGCCTTCATGACTACGCCTTACGGGCACGGAAGTGAGAGCGATGGACGCACCTTCTGCATTCAGAACGCAGCTGACGGTTATCGGAAGGCCGGCATCACATGCAGGTTTGAAAGCGTACAGAGCATGCTTTCAATACCAGTCTGTTCCCAGCAACGCAACTGGTGAAGCGTTTCGTGGAATGCAGGCTCATGAAAAAGGAGAGACAAGCATTTGTTCCAAATGGACCGAACAGCCACGTCGAATATCTTGTAGGTACTGCAAACGAGCTCATGGAGGGGCGGCATGCAGACCACCCTTCTGGGCCAGTGCATTACCATCGTCTCGTCAACACTGGAGACACCATAATGGGAAGGAACATAAACTTGTTGCTTGAATATTCAGCGAATGCCGGCTTTTAAATGGACTTCACCCTATGGATGCTCCTCCCTAACTGTGAAGCAACTGGGTTATTCAGGGAGCTCTTCATCAGATTATTCTCGCCCCACCCCCACACCCTTTTACTACAGAAACATATCCTCCCAGCTCCGAGTGTAGCACGATCACTTCATGTGATAGATACAAGCGTCCACCAAAAATGCTAGCCCCTCTCTCCTGGTGCCACAACTCCCTCGCAGACAAGGCAGCTTATACTTGAAAACACTCAAACAACCTCCAGTACAAGCTGCTTCCATCCTAAACTGCCTGCATGCTAGCATCTTTCCAAGCTCAGTCCGCCAGAAAAAGTACAATGGCCAGAACTATAAACGCAGCAGCCGCCACCTTCGCGAGTAACGGGCGCATCCGCTTCATGTGTTCGGGTAATTCGTAGAAAGAATAGAAGCTTTCGGCGTTGGCAGGCTTATCATCTGCATATTGTACACCGGAGACGAACCCGCCGATATCGTTTTGCAAGTTTTCTTCAACTCCACTGGCTAAGGCGGCCGTGGACGTCCAAACGAGCAGCAATACACACAACATCTTCAAGATTAGGAAGAGCGCCAGCGTACTTCAAAACTCAAGGAACTTTTCACGTGTTTACTACTACGACTAAGTAACTAGGTGAAAGCCTCATGCCCGCCGCCAACCCTACGTGCCAGTCGAGGCACCGTCAATGGATTGTTCCGCTTTCCCGTCGCTGCTGCATGCCGCCTCTCCAGTGCCCACTGGATCTATACAGCGAAAGTTCTACACCCCTGCAGTAGAATCGAACTACCATAAATATTCATGAAAAGCCTAATGAGATGGGTTTTTGGTATTTATCCAAGTACCTCCATGATTTACGGAACAGGCCCCCCTGCCGAGCATGTTGGTGCGTAGAGCCGGTGCCTTGTCGTCGCTGGTCAAGTGCAGACCAGCCGCTACACACACAGGTAATTAAGCCAGTTTCTAATTTAAATTTATTCTTGTGTCCTTTATTCCAGCATTTTCCGCTGTGTCTCGGGCCTATAGTAGTACCCCACATTGCAACCGTACTAAGCACTCCCCGCTCCACCACTCCCCGCTCCACCGAGGCGTAGCGCGGACTGTCTGAGCATGGATTCCTACATGCGCGCACACTGGATACGACGAACCAAGTTATTTTCCAATTGTTGTGGTTTTAGTGCACTAGGAGTAGGCTTGGATATGGTCGCACGTGAGGTTCATTGCAACCGGCGCTGCAGCCATCCTATGCGGCCCTTCAATCTTCTCCTAGGGCCGTCGCGAGCTGCAGTAGAGTCGAAATACTTAAAATACGAATTGCCAAAAGGCATATTGTCTTCTCTTAACTCCTAAGTCTTCCTGCGCACAGCTGAAGAGGGGTTCAGGGGTCCAAGGGGCTACTGTTGTGGCATAGAGGACGCTGCAGCAAGAGTCAGCGATCTTGTCCGCGAACTATCAGGAGTAACAATCGGCTCGCAAGACCTAAGTTAAGAGTTCTAAAGATGGAGATGGCTGCACCTCATTCCCTGGACATTCTGGACACAGCAGTTCCAAGGGGCTGGCGCTGGCGCGTGATTTGCAACGCACCTCGTTGCGACGAATGCTGCAAGGAGCATTCGCATGCAAGCGCAGAAAAATCCCCTTTGTTGCTTGCACTAATACTGTAGACAATTGTTGCATTTCGGTTTGCGTGCAGGATGGCTGCCAAGGCCAAGTAAGTGTGCCAACTTAGGTACCTCTGCGCATCTTGTCCCGCCAAGCAGCGCACAGCCTCATGTGCTTGTTCGCCCTTAAGTGCTTCCGCATTAGCTTTCTTCATTTACTTATCTCAGCGCCTGGGCCTTTATGATGTGTTCCGCGGCAGTATACTGGCCGGAGTCCGTGGTGGCCCCCAAGCAGAAAGAGTCTGTGATTCTGTTGGATAGGTTTGGTGTAGTACAAGTTTGTCTACTCTGTCGTGTAATATCTCGTCGATCAGCTTCTGAAGGGGGTCAAACTCCGCCTTCAGCTCCTCAAACTTATTCTCTGCGTCCTGCGTCTCATCGGTCTGGAGGCCGATCTTCTCGCAGCAGCGCAGCTTGTAATCGTCGCACCCCTTCAGCTGCTCCACTTCGTCCTCGTCAGTCTTATCGGTCATGTAAATCACCTTGTACCCCTTCTTCGCCAGTTTCTCTGGAGGGGGGAAGTTCGGCACTGCCTTCTCCCCAGTAATGTAACAAATGCTTGTCTGCCCTCCTTAATCCGGCCCACGCACTCCCTCGCCCAACGTTCTGCTGCGGAAATGCAGCAGCTCCAATCTTTGCCCGCTTGGTGGAGCCTTTACGGATTCCGACTTCGGTGCTTTTGGAGAATTGCTCATAGAGTTGTGTGGAATTTTCCCTTTTTCGTTTGATTTCGGTGAACACTTAGCGGCACAAGCTCACTCGAGCTCGAAAGAGATGAGCTCCTACTGCTTGTTCGCCAAATCCTTGATCCGCCTGTCCTTAAGATGCTTCCCTTGGTATAACTTGAGGTGCAGCGAGATGCGGGAACCATCGTCTAGGAGCTCGTACTTTTCATCTTTCTGAACAGTCGAAGCAGCCCGATAAGCAGACTCCCACAGGTACTGCTTGCCGTCGTTGTGTTGTGAGACAACAGTCACTCCTCTGCAACGCGGCACACCGAATAGAAACCGATATCGGAATGCCCAATCTCTGAAATGTCTCATCCCTCCTGCATCTCTCCCGTGAACGCCTTGATGCCTGAACGCGCGATGGTCAGGAGGTTGTTCACCAGCTTCGCTTGGCCGAAATGATAGTGCATAAACAAATTGGGGAAAAGAATTCCATAACAAGTCCATAAAGACAAAAGTAAACAGAAAAGGAAGTGTTGAATATATGCATTCGTTTGAAGAAGCTGTCCTGATGTAGCCTTTGTTAGAACGGGCGGACGTCCCTGGCGTCCAGATGAGAGATGGAGATGTACCAGAACTGAAAGATATAGCCAATTTCAGTTTTTTGATTCACTTCTGTCGCTGCAAAGCAACACTTCCACACACGTAGGCCCGTCTTCTATAGCACTGAAAGGCGGCATGCAGAAAACGCCTCGCCGGAACACCCGCTAGTCTTCCGGCAACATGCTTAGCCAGGAACACGGCATCACTGGGACATCGTCTTTCTCACCGAGCCTCACGCCATGTTAAGGGGGCGATGTATAAAGACGTTTTCAGTCTCATTGCATCTTACCATGGTCCTAACACAGTGCCTAGTGCCCACTGACCAATCCGGTGTGCTTCCCCCCCCTCCCCCCCCCCGTTAACCTCGACGGAAAGCATGAGTGAAACGAAACCCTCAGCGGCTGCATCAGACAGCATTTCTGTAGGTGCGGCAGCAGCGGCTGGTTCTGTCGTTCCTGCCTCTGCTGTTGCCACTCCTACCAATGCCACTCCTGCCGCCTGCCAGCACCCCGGAAGACCGCTTCTGCTGTGGCCGCCTCTGAGCCAACTAGGTGAAAATAAGAAAATGTGTAGGATCCAACGTCAGCAGCTGAAGTAGTTGAGGGAAGAGTGAGCCGCCTGGGAAATCCCAAGCGGTGGTGTCCAGCCCCGAAACGTAAAGTGTGTTGCCGCTCGCAGCGCTGGTCTGGGAAGAGGAGGAACAGTTGAATGCGGTGGAAACGCATATGGCTCCAGAGAGCTCACATAGATATTGGCGCAGCAAGACCCATGAAATGCCACAGATAACCGAATAATTGAACATTGCCCAAGATTAAGTTATTCTAAGCATCTGCACGCTGGCAGTGGCAGCCGCTGCACCAAGAAGTACCTGTAGGTCTATCGAAGCATTGCTTCGGGCAAGCCACCCTCAGAAATCCACGCGTCTTCCGATCTCCTGGCGACCTAAAGTCATGTTCTCGTATTCTGTGGCCTCTTCGAGATTTTACATTAGCATTCAGGGCATCAGCCTCCTCCAGTTGTGCCCTTGCGCAGTGAGGCTGCTGGCGTTGTGCCAGGGAGAGATCTGGGTAAACTCGGTGATTCCCTGGCCAACTCCAGAGACAAAACATTACGTGTACAACATCTTCACGCCGAGGGTAAGCTGGCGAGATAATACGGCGTGTAAAGCGCAGAACAAAGACCAAACTCTTCTCCCCAACGCATGGCGAGCGTCTTCGCACGCTCCCCTTCCTGTGCGCCTCGAATATAGTGCCAATGCACGGAAACCACGTGCTATACATTGAAAGCAACTTCTGGACGTCGTGATGCATACTTTCTTGCCTGGAACCCCTGTGCTTTTCTCATTCACCTCCTCACCGTCCCAACCGCTGTACGGAAATCGGCGGCTGCTGCTTCGGGGGCTGTCTTCCACTAGTCTTGCCTAACGTTGGTCAGAGAACAATGTTTCGGTAGAGGCCAAGGATGCCAGCGAGCCACGGGTCAAAGAGTGTAATGTTGTAGAACAAACTTATTCTAGCCAAGGGAGGAAATCAAGCCACCGTGATGAGTTTTGCTGGGGACAAGGTGGCAAATACTGCACCAGCGTTCGGTTGGTGCGTTCAGTTTGAAAATATGCCTTGAGTTGTTCGCGGTGATCAGTATGTGCTCTATAACAATCCGCAACATAAATATGCACAAAAAAGCCGCCGGCTTCACGAGAAACCACCGAGCTTCCAAAAGTGAGAAACGAACAATTGGGCCACTCCACCTGCTGTAACGAAATTCTAATAGATGATGATGCGAGGTTCTTGGTGCTGAGCCTAGCCACGACAGCATAAGTGATGTCATAGTCCCAGAGCGATAGTAAACCCACAATGAAATCCAGTGAGATATTCGCCCAGATCCATTTAAGGAGAGGAATACTCTGGATGAAATTGAGCCTGAGAGTGTTCCGCTGTGTTTCCTGCTGGTATTCCGCACAAGTGAGAAGATATTTACCAACTAAGGGATGCATCCTACGCCACCACAGGGACCTGATAACCCGTTCCACCATCGTATTGAGCCTACAACGCCCCGGTAAAACATGATCGTGCATTTCCCGCAGAACGGCTGGGTGAAGCTAAACTGGAACGTATAATCCGCTGAGTCCAAGTTTCGTCGGGTGCCGCAAGCAGCCCCTGCATCGGCTGTAGTTCTTACCTTGTCGTCCGTACTTGAACTTGGGAAGAACTGCAACCACGGGAGTATCTAAGGAGTATGGAGAACGTGATCTATAGTTTATGCGGACACCATTGTACATAAAGGCAGTTGTCGGACGCAGTACTTGACCTGTATGGAAATGCGAGAGTGCGTGAGTGGCCATCTTAGTGATTGCCTCTCCGTACTTGACTGTCGAACCGCACCGCGCAAGCCGGAAGTGCCGCCGGAAAAACTTTCTTTATCTTCAAAGCGCCTCTTCAGGTGTGACCATACCCACACCAGCACCGTGTCCGCGCGTTACTGGCAATGGTTGAAATCATGAATGGCGAGAACTGGAGATGACCACAGGTATCGGAAAAGGTACCTGCAGGATTCCCCTCCGGTGTCTTCAAATAAGTTGTGTGCCCTTGAGCCTGCCCGTCAGCAGGGCAAGCATGGGAGCGAGTTCAACAATGGGGCTGCGAAAGGGCGATGCGAACTTGAGGAACTCCCGGAAAGCCTTGCGAGTGTACCCAGGTGTGGCCCGCCTGCCAATGCTCTCTGCCCTTGTCGCATCTGCTTTAAAATCCTCACTCCTTGCCGCATCTCCTCTTGCAAAGTATACCACACATAGGACCATCCATATCCTGCCTTTACGCACGCATTAACACCGCAGACAGGTGTTGCACACTTACTTCGCCTCCAGTACCCATTCCCAAGTAGAAGTACATCTATTAGCTTCAGGCCGAGCATGTAGCAGCCGTGATGCAAACTGCGGATGCCTTCCTTGGGTCACTCTCCTTCCGCCCGCGCTTTGTCGTATTTAGAGCAGTTATAAAGCGTGCATTACAGTACTTGAATTCTAACCAATTCTAAGGGGCGTGAACAGCTGGCATAGCCACAGGAGTCGCATGCAGTGGTAGCAGAACCCAGCCAACGAGGATGTATTTTCAATATCATATTTAAAGAACATTGGAATATTTCACCCTTCTCCAGTTAAAGCACGTAAATGCTTCTCAGAATGTAAACTGATGGACAGGAAAACTCATCGTTGTCGTTTGTTACTTTGCCGTGCGCTAAGGCGTTTCAAATACCACTGGCCTTTTTTCGGCCGGTGAAACTTACCCGGAAAGCAGTAAAAATAGTTAGTTTGGACCCGGTTTGTAAAACAACGGGTCCACGGCTTTTGGCCAGGGTAAACCATTTGGGGGCACAACGCACCGCAACTGCATCCTTTGTAGAATGCCAAGGTAAAGCCGCACAACCGTCCCAGGCAGTTCCACTGGTTCGGATGCAACTTAGTGTGGTGGAACGTTATCTTGCGGCACTGAATGATCGCGAGAAGAAACATCGCTGTAATCTAGATGCTAGCGGCCAGGCTGTTTCAACGCTGAACGTTAAAAAGACGGTTAGGGATGAATTTACAGTAATTTCGCGGTGTCTGCAGCCTAGAGTGTGCGTGCTTGTGCACCACCAACTTGCCATGCAAAATGTCCCTAGTCAAAAAGATATTAGCTGGAACTTCATGCTTAGGATGGAAGTGCATCTTCCCGGAAACAGATAGTTTAGTCTATCTGTTTATTCTATCCAAGCTGGGTGAGTCACCGACCTAGATAGTTGATTGTTTAGAAACTATCTAGCTCGGTGATTCGCCAAGCTTGGATCACGGAAACTACACTAAACCCTTCAGATCATGTCCAGTAATTTCGGCCTCTGGTAAACAGGTGCATAAGCATGCTAGGTCAAAAAACGCAGATATACGATTGCCGCAACCTCCTGTGCGCCACCATATCAAACTCATATCCACAGCGGGAATACTATAACTTCATCGCGGACCAATTTTTCATGCAATTGGAAAGGGGGCTCGAGATGGTCCGTGCCATTCGTGGGATTTTGAACTCAAGACGAAAACGATTTGGAGAAGCTATTTGCATTCAAACTGAGGAAAAAAAGTGAATGCTCAAATTTGATGGAGTGTCCTCATTGTTTTGGGGAGCACCGTATAATGACTTGCGCTCAACTGCGATTTGGTTGCCCTACAGTCGCAACGGGACGGCAGCGAGGCTTCTTAACTCCTTGGGGGACAACTAGCAGAGCGCGAATGAGCTCTTTTTGAACTGGCAGAGGAACTCGACCAAATTTGTCCCCTAGACAACGTAGAAGCATTTGCAGCTCTTCAAGAGGATTTTCAAAAACCAAACTGCTTCTTATTAGCACCTATGAAATTCGCAGGTATGCAGAGTCAGTTGAAGGCAGCACAGTTCTGTTTGTGAATTTGGAGTGGTAGGACGCTGAAAATTTTGATGTCGAGACTTTCCTTACCTGAGCTATCAGTTCCTTCACGTCATTCTCATTGAGACAACAAACGTAATCTATCAAACCCGTATATCGCAGGCCATACTGTAGATCTCTTCTAATGATATCTAGAAGCCTTTCCACATGAGATCCTAATTCGCCTCCACTTCCACTTGACCCTTCTACCGCCTCGCTAAGTCCATCGGCCGCTGTCGCGAGCAAGTCTGAGTACCAGGCTTCACTAAAGTCAGCCATATCTGCTTGCCTACAAAACTCAGCTTCCTGCGGCAGAACCCTAAACCCTAAAAATACGTGTTACAGGTAAAAATGAACCTTAGCGTTTGTAACTTGCGTGGCACTTCTATATGATGGTGTCTACACTTGGCAAACTGCAGGTGGTGCAGCATATGACTCCTTCGGCAAAACTTGCGGATTTTTTCTCCATGAAAGGTAGCGCAGCATGTTTGCATGGTTTACCCTCAATGCGTCGATCACAGCCTGCTTTTGATATTGCCTGCTTCTCCTCACATGCTGCAGTACGCGCAATCTGGTTCCCGAATCAAAAAAGCTGCGCAGTGTCTGAGAGAAAGGATAGAATAAGCATCGCTATTCTGCAGATGCCTGGCAGGGTACTCTCCATGAAGCTTGCCGCCGCCATTCAACGTTAATTCCGCGCTGGTAGCTACCCAGTCGAACGCGTCCCCACAAATTGCACAGGGTGCAACTCAAGGTCTAAATGAATATCAATTGTAAATATGCATACCTTGGTATTTAGCAAATCCGTGAGGTTGCGCTTGGTCGTTTCGCGCGCTTCATTACGAGCCCTCAGGCTTTCCTGAAAATGTCACTCTGCGCGCCTTCAATCTCACGAATAAGTAACGCCGTTTCATTTTAATGCTGTTTTCCACCAGAAGGGATGAGAAAAGATTCTATTTCTGTCAACACGTGAGGCGCTCACCCGTATACTATCTAATGCCTTCTCCGTCGAGTTGACCTCGCGGGACATGGCAAGATTTTCAGACTTCCCAAAAGTAAAACACTGGGCAGGATACCCTTCTTTACTTCCTTACAGCAGCAAATTTAACAACGGTTGCAGCATGCACTCATTCAAATTGCGGTATTACATGAGGGTATATGCAGAGCATGGCGCAACAGCGCTCACCCTAACAGCATAGAAAGGTGGGTGGCTTGGTGTATTATGTTAAAGTGGATAACGACAGGGACTTTTGCTTCTGCGCCACGGGCACACTTGGGCACCTATCGTGACATCTCACTGAGCCTCCTGACCCGAGCGCTCAGGCTTGGCTGGCTCTCCTCTACGGTCGTCATGTTGGCGCGTTGCGCAGCATTCCTGGCAGCCACCTGTTGCCGTTGTTGCCGAAGGAAGTCCGGTGTAAAGGTGCATGTACGAGCTGCCCCTGAGAGAGCTGTTGAATCAGCGTTTGTCCAGGAAGGTATGCTGACTGAAGGTTTCCGGACTCTCCCTCTAGAAGGCATTCGAGGCGCCTTATACATTGTCCACCCAGCCATCTGCGTTGGCTTCCGTGAAACCCAAAATGCCTCTTCTGCCTCATTGAGCAACTTCTCTAGCTTTGCAGAAGCTTGCAAAGGCGTAGTTGTAGTGTTGACAGCATTGTTGCTGGAGTCGCTACTCTCTGAATTCCCCTGCTGAGAGGTAAGATTCGTTGGGGCGCTCGCTGCAAGAACAGCAAACCAGTGAGTTAGTCGGGGCCACCCCCTCTTACAAACTTGGGCAAGATTTTGCCTTCTCATACTGCAGCAGTGCACTTTGCCTTGTCGCAGTGTAAACAGCGGACTTTGATGCACTCTGGTGGGACACTACGATCTGCAGTTATTTATGACGTGCCTGCTGCAGCTTTAGTGGCTACCTCCTTGAGGTGCCGGCGCCCTTCGATAAACTCCTTTAAGGTAGGCAACCGCCATGTACTGCTCACGCAGGATGATGAAGCCTTGTTTGGTAGAGCGTCTAGCTTTAGCCTGACCGGGAGACAAGAAGGCATTTTGGCTTTTCGCTGAGGTACAGACTCATTTTTCGTTGTTCATCGAGGGTGCAGCTTGCCTGGGAATGACTGGCCATAAGAGAGGCTTCGCAGGTGACTTGGCTTTGGAAGTCTTTGGTTGCTGCTGGTGGATAGACAAAGCTGCCGCTGTAGAGTCGTTGTACCTACGTCCTTTACCTCTTTCTTCACAGTTGATGCCCATGAGATGTGGGGAAGCGCTGCAGCAAACGTTAGCAACATAACCATGGAATGTGGCCCTTGTAATCTTTATAGGGAGGCCACACGGGCAAGCAGTGTACTGTGCTAACAAAGTACAAAATTTTGCAGCACCTAATGGCCGTTTCTTTCCCATTCCATTTTATGGATTGTGGTTACTGATTCCACACCTGCTGTGCTGATCCACAGGAAAAGTCCCTATACTATACTCATACAGTGGTAACTCTGCCGGAACGCCACTGAAACAAAAATTCTGTTCGCTCACGAGCCCTTTTCTCTGGTCTGTCGGCATGATGTACAGGCCACTAAGACAACAGGCGAACCTCCGTACGCTCCTACATAAGTGCCAGGGCCAGTAGGTCTGCTGCAACCATGGCAATGTGAGCTGGAAAAACTGCTGTGGATGTTTTCGATGGGGGTGATTTGCTCGTTTACGACACAACCGCTCTCTGCGGCAGGTTTTCCCCTTTTGGTGGTCTGAGTGAGGCCTTCTTTTAGTCGCTCTCGGCACTTCCGCATGTGGCTGTTGCGCCAGTGGCGCGACTGCCTCCCAGTGGGAGAGCTGGGCTGACGCATTTGCTCTGCAACTAAGGCTTCACACTTAGCCAAAGTGATAGGGTCTTTGTATTCTTCTGGTGATGCATTGTGAGAGCGCAGGGCCTTAGGACTTTTTCTCCAAAACCATCCTCGGATGCGTGACTGTTGCGCTTCTTTTTGTCCTGCTGTGTGGCACCGGTAAGGGCTGCAGCAGCCTCAGCAGGCCTTTGGAAACATACGTTTCTGCCATGGCAGCTTCCGCAAGTTTTTGGGTTTTTTTTGGCTTTATTCTGGCCATCCCCGCTACCTATGTTTTCCAGAGGGGGGGAATTATTGCCGGAGGACAGCTCTGACTCTGAGCCAAGGGCCGGTGGAGCAGTAAGGAAGGCGACTTGGTATGGTCCCGCTGAATCAAGAGTCACTTGGCCCCTTGTTGGAAATCTGCAGAAGCTGGCATGATTCGGCGCATTGTACCCATCATCCGTCGACGGCAAGCCTGGTCTCGGTTGCGATTTGCAAAGCAATAATGTTTCAATTTGGTGAGCATTGGCTCGCGCTTCAAGAGGAGTCTTCCGACAAATTTGCAGGGAATGAATCCCTTTAAGTAGTGCTGCTGATGGCACCACTAGCCTAGGCCTTGCAGGAGACTTTGAACGCCTTCGTTTCCTAAAAATTCAATGAAGGCAACTTACTTAGAAAGAAACCCTTGTGTGCTGAAAGGTCAACAGCCCTTTAGCAGTTTCCATATGAAAATCAGTCCCAATAAAAAAATCATATTCACACAATGCGCGTACATTACGAGAAAGACAGGGACGTAGTTATGGTGGCAAGGAAGTCGAGGACCAGGTGAAGGCGTCGGGAATTGCACTACTCAGAAAATTCTCACGAAGCCTCGAAAGCAGCTGCTGCTTGTGTTGCAGCTTCATGTATACGCAAAATAACAGCTCGACCCCAGATATGCGGCCTAGGTTTCTTGTTCGAATCTCGAGGGGCGGGCGGAAGGAAGCGGGCAGCTTCACTGAATGCCGCGCATGCAGCTCTTGCCGTAGCAGAAAGTCCCGTTTCTCCGTCTGATTTGTTTTTTTCCCGAGGGCAGCGACGTTTTAATGGCCCTCGAAGAGCCTGCATGGAAGTAGAGAAACCGGACTTCTACCGGCTTGGCCGTTTTGATTGCGTGGCAGATATCTCTTACACTCAGTAAAGCATGGAACGCTGCTTTACAGGATGAAGCCTTACCCAGAGAGCCATGAAAAAGCTTTCTGGGGAGCTAAACCATTGTCACTACGAACCTGGTTTATGCACGCTTTTTGCCTCACTAGCTCTGCTTTGATGGTTACATACTCTGCCGTCCAACGGCCTCTCACAGCGGGTGATGTTCGGGGTGTTCGTGAGTCATAGAGCCCCACAGACGAGGCAGCTGCCTGCACGGAAACTGCTGCAGCTGCATTTTTAAATGTGGGAATAGTCATGCCTCCTTTCCCTTTGACCTTGATTGATCCATCCTGCACAGTTCAAATGAGTGCAACGCATCCACAATTTTCACTATGGAGCGCGTGGGATTTCGGTAGTTGGCAATCTGTATACAAAAGCAGCTTAAGACCTCAAAATGCTCCTCTAGGCCAATTTACTAATTTAGAAGTGACGAGCATGCAGTAGGCCCTAGAGAATATATCTCTACTTGCCAGGCAGCTCTGCCGGTACGTACTTGGGGAGAGGCATCTACTCCAGAGAGTGCGAGGCGGCGTACTGCTCTATACTGCGGGCTGGTAGAACAAATGCATCCACATTTTTCCTGGGGAGCGTCCATGTTGGCCGCTTCACTTGTTGAGCACCCACTTAGGATCGACTGAATAAGGGACTGCAGATGCATGCAGAATGCTCATAACTTTATTCTGAATTGCTTCATGTGCACCTACTTAACATGAGTATCTCTTCCGCCCTACGGCTGAGCCATTAGATATGTAGCAGTGCACAGGGATCTCTCGATGCGCGCTACGTAAAGCTTAGTCTGGTTAGAAACCACTTGCTGACAGACGTAAAGTTTCATCAACTTCCTTGCCAACAAGGGAACGTTTGTTGGCAAGGAAGTTGATGAAACTTTACGTTAATCCAATGCGAGACCAAGGAAAGTAAAAGCCAGATCAGAATCTCAACAACGATCTCGGAGGCAGAGCACACCTATATTTGAAAGCCGCCTCTGACGGGCACAGTTCAGACCGTTTCATTATCCTGAGAGTCGTATGAGCGACACCAGTTTAAACAACGGCCGACATTGGCAATTTTCTATCCGCCACAACATCGAAAATGGACTAGTCGGGGGACCGCGGTTGGAGCAAATATCCCAAGAAACCCCTTGATACGAATGAAAGGCGGCCCGAATACCACGCAGTCAAGAAGGCAACTCCATATAGGCGCAGCCTTCTTATCACGTAACAATTCGGTGTACACGACATAGAATCCTTCTCATCAAGCTATTCTGTTTTCGGTTAGTCAACCTTATTCCTAGCTACATCAGGCATCTTGATTAGGTCAGGGGGGAAAAACGACAGGAGCGTCCTTGCTCAACTTTTGGCGTTGTACGCCTCCTTCCTTTAGCTTGCTGCCACAGATTCGGCGTCGTTTGGATGTCTCACTAAGTTTATGCTATATTTCAAGAATCAGTGAATCATGACTTGGAGGTGTCCACTACACCTGCAGTGTTTGGGACTTTGGGGCTTGGGGCTTGGGGTTTGGGGCTGTACAGCATCACCTCCCGTCAGCCGTCTTCGGAAATTTCGAGGCAGTGAACAAAATAACGCAAGAAGTGACAACCCTTTTCCTACCTTGCAATCTGGCTACAAGCTAAATAGGTTTTTAACTACAGTGTAGTCCCGGCCCCGCGCATCCCCCTTGGGTATCCTTGACAAGTTGCCCACCTCCAATGGATAATACTAGATTACTTCTATCATAATTTAATGCTACAACAAACGGTTATTGGGCTACGGTACAAGTTAGATCTCAGACCGATTTCGTCCGTTTTCCATGCTCCCCCAGTTGCGGCAGCACTGCGGCTCCACCGCCGCAGTGCTGCCGGAAAATTATCTACTCGCCATTTTAATACGCCCAGGGAGGATGATTCAATGAATGGAAGCTTTTATCTGGTTGTTTCTTAGTGGAGCTAAGTAGTGGTATGCAGTTGCTTGGGGATTTGGAGGTGCACTTTCTCAAGTGCTAAATTTGAAGGGTGCGAACACCACAGTTTTATTGAAACTCGATGAATTATGCGGACGTACCTGCAGTGTTTTGAACGTAAAGTAAGCATGTAAGATAATCCTGCGCTAAACTAGTTCGTGCGCAAGTTCTGTCGCTTTTGTGGTGAGACTTGCAGCCTTAGCGCTGCACAAACGCAGCGCTAAAAGAAACAATTCTCGGCATCCTCAAACTTATCTGTCAAGAAAGAGTATTAATGCAACTGACAACTGATAAGGAAGCTAGAGAGTTGTTCGGGGACAAAATTACGTCCCTGCATGACCGTAGGGTCTATAGTACCAGTGCAAGGAGAGTCCTTGGCCTGTACCGAGGACTGTCGTGAGCTGCAACATAGTCAAAGTACTATATTGCAGGTCACGACTGTCCTCGGCATAACATTTTCTTAAAAGAAGCCTTCACCTTCTCCAGTCTTCAGTCGTCCAACAGATGGAGGGCGAAAGTTCTGGAGCCGATGGCGGGTGGAGCTTTCTGTTGAGTTGCAGTACTCTTTGCTGTGATTACTACTCCACCTGAAAGCATCCCGAATCCCTTTGCACGGTCTCACGCCTTAGACGATTGCTAGGCACTGACTCAGACATAAACGCTCAACCTATGTGCAAGTCTAAATTCGTGTAGCCATTTTGAACAGACTGTCATACTTCCTCCCCCTCCTTTCCCCAAACAGCACACGCACTCGTTTATCTGGTTGCCCAACAAGGGACGACTTCACCGGGATTGTGGAATAAAGGCTAGAAAGAAGCCAGACCCCCCAAGCGTAAAAGGCGAGAAGAAATGTGGGGAAAAGACGGGCAGTAGCGGCGCCAGCTGATGCTGCTCGTGCATGCTGGTGTGTTGCTGCCGCCAACCGCATCTCGCGGCTGCAGGGATGCGCAGTGCCGTCGGCAGTGGTCATTGAATGTACATTGTTTCTTACTCGTGGAATAAGGGTTACGTTATTGTAAGGTAACCCTAAATGATCATCCGCCGAAGCACAATGTGAAAGCACCCTGGAAGCGCGACCCCCGGTCAGCTAACTAACCGGCCAGCCCTATACAATGTAAAAAGGATGTTGTCTGCTGCGGGGCCGAGGTAACCGTAGATAGGGGAACAAAAGCAGATTGCATCGTTAAAATATTTCGCGCGGGAGGGCACGAGGCGATGAAGATTTAAGCATCTCTGGACACGTGGAAAACAACTATTTACAAATAAGTTGTATGCGGCCCACACTAAAAGGTGTGTGGGGAACGCCCAAGCTCCTAGTGCCACTGAAGCCCACCACATCGTAGAATACTAATTCTAAAAACGAAGATCAAAGGAACCTACCACCGCGTGGGGGACCTCTCCGGTTTATCGCCCCCCGGTATTCTTTGCAGAGGGTACGCAGCCCCCAAAAGCAAATCGTATGGGTTTAGGGGAACTATCGAACATCCTTTTTCATAGTATCGTTCCTAGATCTATTGCGCTCTCTTCATATGTTCCCTAGCCGCTGCAAGCTGCATGGAAATTGGTAGATGTGTCTGGCTGCCGAGAGCTAGGCCCAACCTCGGGCCAGAGAACGGCGTTTCGGCGTCCTCCAAAGTTGGCTTACTGTATATGTATACCAGCAAAACTACAGAACATGGGGTCAAGGAGTGCATACTAATATGATAAACCAATTCCGCACAAGGAAGGAAAGTAAGCACATTGGCAATTTTCTGCTGGGGATACGATTTACCAGAAAATTACAAATGTGCTTAAGCTTGTCCACAGGAGTAAACACTGGACTAGCTTAGAGTTGGTGGGTTCAGTTTGACCTCTCTCTGGGCCGCTCGCAGCAAGTATGTCAAACTGCGTCGTGAATTCCCGCCCAACAGCGTCATCGTATGTTGGGTCCCTGTTAGTAGTGGTGCTTTTTGGAAAACCACTGAGCGTCCAAAAGTGATTAAAGAATAACTGGGCGGCATCCTCTGCTGAAACTGAATCCGAATAGAAATTGATGTGGGTGAGCATGATGAGCTGAGCCAATGAGATCATAGCCTCTGACAGATGGTCAAAACAACATGAAAATCCAATGAATTGCCCGCCGGGGCCCATTTGGGGATAAAAAGACTCTAGAAAAGATTGAACCTCAGACTATTCCGCGGCTTTTATTGCTGCCACTCTGCACAAATGTGGAAGCATTTTCCGACTGAGGGATGCATTCTAGGCCGCCAAAAGGGCCTGACCACCCATTCAATTGACATATTGACCCCACCGTGCACTGCAGAAAGACCTGGTCAATGGAAGCTAGGAAGTATAATCAGCTGAGCCGATGCCTTGTCTGGTACCGGAAGAGCCCACCGTCTACGCTGTACTGCTTTCCTTGTCCTCCGTACATGAGCTTCAACGAACCGCAGCCACGTGAGAAGCAAAATAGAAAGGAAACGGGAGTCATCGCAGGCATGGGCAGTTGCAGAATACATTGCCGGAGTTTCAGGATATGCGCCAGCAACACAATTGGTGATACGGCTTCACGCTTGAACGTGAAGCCGCACCACTTCACGTTTAAGCACATCCGTACGGCGTGGGCCAGCATAGCCACCGAAGGACTCTTTCACTGTCATACTGAAAGCTCTTCGCCAAGTATTTTGGAGGATGAAGACATGTTTGGACGATGAAGTGCCTACCATACAAAATTTCTCGACGCCCTTTTATTCCTCACTAGAGAACGTAGAGTTCCTTCTCGAGTGCCAGTTGCTTGTGCTGGCTTCCCTTGAAACGGTATGAGTAACAGGCCGTTATTTGGTGTTTTCTTCGAGATATTGGGTTGCTGAGAGAGCATTACTTCAACTAGTGTGTCACTGACATCGGTTATTCGGAAGAAGGGTTTGTCGAAATCAGAAGGCGCGAGTATGGGGGAAGATATCAGGTATCATATGACGCTTAAATGGGCTGCGTATTTGGCCTCTGCGTGCAAGAGTTTTCGTGCCTTCTTGAGTAGCTCTCTTTGAAGAAAGGAGACCCAAGCGACTTCAACGATGGAGCTGCGGTAGTACAACGCGAAGACGATGAGCTTCTGGACGTCCTTGGGGTTATCCAGGGGTAGCGGCCGCCTCCTAATAGCCTCTATCTTCACCGGACCAGGGTCGAAACCTTCTGGAGAGGCACGAAACCTTCACAACATAATTGTTTGCATGAAAAATGAGCTCTTTTGTGGTTTCAGGAACCACTGCTCCCTACATAACAGCTGCAAAGTACACCGCAGGTGATGCCAGTACACCTGCATTCCGCCTGAACAGGAGCATGCCGTTTATGTACATAAGCATTCACTCTTCATCAACTGGCTTCAATATATACTGGTTTACTCGTGTCTGCTGTTCGGCAGGTGCATTCTCCAGTCCGAGTAGCATACAGATGTACTCTAGCTTGCGGAACGGGTGTCGAATGCTGCCTTGTGTGCGGTCATCGGAGCGTGTCGGAGTCTACAAACACCGCGTCAGCAAACCCGAACGGTAAATAGCTACTGAAACCAACACGAGCCAGGAACTTTTCCACTTCCCCCCCGCGGCTCCCTCCATATCTGTACGGTCGATAAGAGTAAAGATATCCTTCATCAACAGTTTTTCCTAACGAATTTTCCACTTCCACCTGATGGGATACAGATAATGCCTTTCTTTTAAAGCGGCATCGCGGCCAGCCCTTGATACCCTCCCCACAGGAGGGCGCGTCTTGGCCAATTTCCATTATGCAGAAGAACCCATGGCCAGACGTTCGGGCAGAGATTGTAGGGCGGATATGTAGAGAAGTTTTGGCTCGTATTTTTTCGACGGCCGCCTTTAAATTACTTAGTCCTGTACAGTAGTCCGTTCGGGGATCGCGCCTTCCCCAGGACGCATGTGGTGCTGCCGATTGTAGCAAGGATCCTCCGCCATAACTGAGGACCGTTTCGAGCTGTACCCGAGTCAAGCAACTTACGTCGAGATTTTCTAAGAAGGAGCTGAGCTCTTCTTCTGTCTCCAGGCGTGTGGGGCACCGGTCACAAGACCTGAGGCTGGTGAGGAGAGTAGCCGGCCTGCAATGAATATAGACGCGTCTTGTTGCAACCCCTGCTGCACTGCAACCCCACATGCAAGCCTCGCTAAGCCCCCTTTGCTGCAGACATAAACATGTTAAAGACTTGTTAAATACTTGCTACAAGCCAACTAGCAATGCGCACGCAAGAAAGGCAACAGACGACCGCACTTGTACGTGTACCGAAATCTTCATTTGGTGCGTGCATTACCATGTAGCCTTACAACTCCTTGGATAACTCAGAGCTAGGCAGTCATCTGCATATATATCCAACGAATGATCTTTTAACAAGGGTTTCCTAAAAAGAAACTTAGGTTGCAAGAGTCCCGACTTACGAAAAGTTCCACCATAGGATCGTTGTGCAGTGTGTGCATTAGATGGGATATGTTGCCTCCTGCAGCAATATCATGATGCTTTCCGCCATAGTTTTGTGGGTATTTATCGTAGCCGTAAAAAATACAGCACTATGCAAACAGAGACCCACAGCGCGTACTCAAGTGGACGTCGCAGAAAAGATTGTTCGAATTCCACGAAACAGAAGACAACCGAACAGCACTCTCAGCAGAGTAGGATTGCTACTTCTATTGTGAGCAACTGTCCTGGACCAGACGTTGCCACATTCTCCAGCCCCCTGCTAACAAAAAAGATTACTGAAAGTACATTTTTGTTGTTCCTCGCAGTCAAAGCGTGAAAAGCGGTTGCTGTTAAACCGCAGCGGCTGCTGCGTACGAGCCATATAGGAGGCTCCTATCCCTGCAAGTCCAGTTTCCGCAGTACCTGCTACTCCCGCAAGAGGCGAGAGCCGATGAGGTGGACGCGCGTGGACTGAGGAGAATTCTGTGCACACGGTATCGCGGCCTCAACAAGGACCACGATACACAAGCGCTGTTGTGCTGCGTTAAGGGCGCGGTCACTACCAACAGCCGCACTCCAGCCCAAACGAGGTACAGGGAGACACCCTAAACGACTTGATGCACTGCCCAGAGCGCCTTGCATGCACTGAACGTGCAACTGCCTCTCTCACAAACTGAAAGAGAACATCTTCCGAATGTCGTGGGCAAAGTGGTACAGGTTCCGCATAAACCTATCCTAAAGGCAACAAGCAAACCGCCTACAGTTTTCCAATCTAACGAAAAAAGGCAAAATTAATCCCGTTAAATGCCAAGCAAAACCCGCTTGTCGAGCTTATGATCAAACGGGCACCTACTTTATTTGCCGGCGTAAGGTCATCTTCAATGTTCACCATCAACTCGATGAAGAAGCCCTCCACTCTGCAACGTACACAAAAGGGTTCCCAGGCAGATGGAAGCCACAGCTCGCGAGAATTCGCAACGCCCGCGTGGGAACAGCGTTAACTGATTGAAGCAAAGGGCTCAATTTCTCCTTACTGCGGTCGCTTGCTTTCGATTTGCTGCTCAATTATCTGCTGCTTCAACTTCAAGTATTCGTTTTGTTGCAGGACAATCAGACCCAACAAGACACCCGAAATTGCGAACAGGTTTGGGAGCTGGCCTGAGAAGGCGCAATGACGCAGGCATTGTACGAGGGGAAAAAAGTGGATAATTAACACCCAGCCAGCAAAACACAATTGACAAGTCGGACAAGGTGAACAAAAAATGAGTCACCAAGTTCCCCGTGGCCCGCATATTATAGCCGGAACCCATCTACCTGTGACATAAGCCCCGATCTACAGGAATAAAAACTCCCGGAAAGGTACATGGGTATACGGCATTTACTTGAGTGGCCTCACATCTGCAGCACCCCCAACACCATTCGCTGAATAGGCAGGCAGTCAAAGGACTGCATTCCTCCTGTCCCACGCGGATACATACCTGTCATGAGCAGCTGGAATATCAGCTGCAACATTCGCGGTAAACTCCCCGGTTGTGCCTCAAGGAAGGCGCGGACGGCCTGTGCGTAAAGTGCAAACAGACTGCGCTACTTCTACTTCGAAACTACGCAGCTGCAGTATATGCGCTTACCCGAAACTCCGGCTCCGTCACGCTTCAACCACGGCGAAGAATGCTGATGCAGTAGCGTGTGAAGTGCAACACTGCGGCAAAAAATGTGCTTATAGGCACAGCTAGCCGGTGGAGATACTCGACACGGCAGACCAAGCGACACTGGAAATATAGGCGAACTGGAAAAAGCGCGAAGCGAGCAACCTTACGTCTCCTTCCTTCTCCTCAGAATTCCTGTACTTGAAGATAAATTCAACAAAATGGCCTAAGGTGGCGCAGGATTGCATCAGCACTGTTTCTTGTGCACAGAGGCCATCCTCAACGCACCTCAGCAGCTGTGCAAGGTGGGCTGGCGGAAGCTCTAGAATCTGCACACCCAGCAAAGGCAATCCCAACGTTGCGTGCAGGTTAGACGGCAGGCTGTGAGAATACGAGCAATATCCCCAGCTCATCAAGCCCAAATACACAGAAACTGGCAGCTTTCGCGCAATGAGCACTACCGCTACAAGGCAAATTCTCGTCGTATGCTTCGGCTGTACGCTACACCTTACGGGAGAGAATGGGGGCGGGAGGGGAAAAGGCGGAACCGAGCCACAAGATATCGTGAAGAAACTTACGTGCTGCATGAAGGACTCCGTGGCAACTTCGAGGAAAGAGTAGACAGGCCTTAGCGACTTCAAATAAGCCATCAAATCTGACGGACGTTGGAGAGTGACACAAGAGGCAGATGCAAGGATCTCGCCAGTCCCACCAAATAATGCGCATTTGCTACGGCTCCTCGAGCAGAATACCCATCAACAGCCAGGGGTGCATAACGAACTACGCAAATGCCTTACCGTCCTGGGGAATCGCCAGACACATCTGGAGAGCAAGACGAAGGGAGTCGTTTAGGACTGTGTCTCCGTATACCTCGAATACCTCATAATGGCAATATGAGCCACTGATGATGTTGCTCAAGATCTGCAAGGCCACAGCCATCCCCTTGTACTTCTCCTTGTAAGGGTCAGTGAAGTCCTGTTTCTGCAATATCCTGAATACATGAAGACAGATGCAAGCGTGATGAATTTGAAACAAACAAAAAACCAAGGGAACCTCCTCAACAACATCAATCAAGGGGCTTAAGAAAACGCATGCTCAGGTATCCCACCTGTTTCCATATTTAAGCACCACACTCGATGCTTCCTTGAAAAGCCGAATGCCGTTTGCGGAGGACTCAACAAACTGTATCCTGCTGCCTCCCCTGTTGCTGACGAAGTCAGCGATGAACTTCAAAAGGGGAACCATAACCTCTGCATCGTCCCACCAAGCATCCGCTGCCCAGCTAAATATTGCCATCTGACAGACAGTGCACGCACAACCAGGACAGTCTCGGAGAGTTCCCGCTTTGCCTCATCTCAATCCCACAAAGGGAAAGCGGGAGAGCAGGAAAAAGCCATCTCTCACGCGAGTGCTGCCGTTGATCTTCTTTGCCGGCGACATCAACCACTCGAAAAGGACTGTGTACGTTGAGCTATTTCCAGAAGCGAAACTCAGCCCCCTACGCCAAGCCACCACAGGTTTAGACTACACGCGGATGGAAAACATCAACCGCAATGAGTGTCTTCAATACTTCTGTGCAACGCAACAGCCACGGGGGATGCTTTTTGCTGCCTTACCTGAGATCTCGCACAAGGCCAATCAGGGGGTCCCGGCAAAGCGGATTGCGGATCGACCCGGGATTTCTCCCTTCTTCGGTTTGTTGCCACAACGAAACGAAAATGGCATCCATGGGCTGCACGAATTGTTCAAAAGTGACGGCAGCCTTCCGTTGCTGATAAAATAACAACGTCCCGAGCGTTAGATAGTAAGTCGTCCGCAATCTCGAATACCTACAAGAAAGCGCCAGCAGCGCCCATGAAGACGGCTAGTTAGTACTGTACGCTTATTTCAACGCATGCAAATTTCACTACAAGCATCCAACAAGCTGCAGCGTACAACCATGGAACAACTTCTGAATAGGTTGGCCGGCTACCGTGAAACGAGCAATAGCCGACTAGTGAGTGCAACAACCACACAAGTAGCATGGAAGGTACACGAAACACGAGCTCTAATTCGAGTGGAGAAAAGAATACAGAAGCAAAACGACGCACCTGCGCATCGAAAGGAATTTGAACTCGGCGCTGCAATGATTCGTCAGGAAGTAGGCGCCAGTGGGAGTTTCCAGCAGCAGCCGACCCGTGACGATGAGCTCTGGGGCCCGGGAGATCCAGTGGACAATGTGGACCCCGGCCACAAACTCAAAGAGGAGATCCATGGACTTCTTAATGCACTCTGGCATATCGACTCTGTGCTGTAGATTGAAACCAATCTTGCTCACCAAGGTTGCTACCACCGCCTTGTCATCCGCCGCTCCTAGAGCTGTGCAGATATTAACAGCGCATGAAATTGTTCTGTTTCATTTCACTCCAGAGCTAACAACGAATTTCCAGGGCAGTCTCGTGAGACAGGCTACTCATCTATTCACGAGCAAAGCAGGCGACTGTGACCACGCATGTAGTCCCAACCATCCACAAATGTCAAGTGTAGACAAGTGCACGAATGCCTAGCAATAGAAAGTAGACGGCCCCCTCCAACAGTTGTCAACATAGTGCAAACCCTTGCCTGTAGCAAAGGCACTCGTGCCATCCAGCTTGCGGGCAAACTGGCCGATGAAGAGCTTCCTGAATTGGTCCAGGAAATAAAGAAATGCCAGCTCCAGGGTTTCCGGCGTATCTTCACATTTTGTCTCTTCAATCAATGTGAGGACGAGCTTTGACAGACCAGCGTTCGCCGTCTGCACAGTTTCCGACGAAGCATCTGTTGGCAACGCAGAAAACACGAAAAGTACCCTGCATGGTGTGGCTTGGCAAAAACAAGCGTAATCACAAGTTTAGAAGATAAGCATTAATGGCTCCATCGCTGCGTCTGACAGACCGTCGACGTATACATCAGGGAGCCTGCCGGTCCAGTTACTGCCGACAAGAGCCCCGATAAGATACACCAGCCACGTGATCTTCTCCTCAAAGACCTTCCTGCTTATTTCACCGCTCTGTGCCTTGGTCTTCGTCTCTTCGAACAGTTCATGAACCACTCGTGCCGTTTTTGTGTATCGGCACCGAGCAAGCTGAGACAAAACCTCCAGCTGTTCCTGACGCAACACTTCGTTGTTTAAGGGGCTTTCCCAGTCGCAGTTGTCTGCATGTCAGAAGTTGCGCAGCAAGTACACCGTAAAACGAATGGCACGAGTTCAGAACCGTACAGAGTAAACAACTGTTTGCCAGTAGCATCAGTCAGTCTGCGGAGCCAAGCTGGAAACATGCCAAATGTGTAGAAAGTGCGGCGGCGGCGGCCTGGCGAAACCAACTGCCGGCGAAAATCAAGAGCCTCACCAGCATCGTCAGCAATGGCCTCCGCTACATACATGCGACTCATAATGAATGCTGCGGTAATCCTCTCAATGTAAAGCTCCAGGTCACTGGGCACTTTCTGCTTGTAGAAAAGCAAGGGGGAAATTACGTGTGCCCATACCCCCAAAAGGTAGTGCTTGCTATTCGGCATTCGCTTCCACGATTTTAAGCTCTCCATTGTGAAATCGAATAGATACTGGGGGAATTCTCTGAACGGCTCTGATGCGCAGAGTTCGCTGAGATGGTGGGAAGTGTTGATCTTGCCAATGAGGCGGCAGAACTCGTGGTAGCACATGTCATCTGTTAGGCCCGTTCTTGTTTTGATGATCTTAAATGTCCCTAGAATCAAGGCGCTCATATATTTGTTCCTGGTGGCCGTTGTTTCAAAGAAAGATCGGCGAAAAGCCGAGATGAGGACGAGGCAAGACAAACACAAACGTGCGCATTCAACGCGAGGCCGGTGCGGGTTCTTTTGCCAGCAGGCATTGTATAGGCTGAAGAACATTTTAGGGAAACGTTCCTCCCTGAATTCGCTCCAGCCCTGAGGGATCATAACTGTGTTCTGCTCATCAGTGGTGTCGTCGGCAATGGTTCCCATGAAATCGAATGACAGGCAATTGAGTGCCAGCTGCAGCACTTGTTTGAGCAGACGTGTCTCCTCTTCATCATTCGGTACACGGATGGCCCCCGCATCAAACTGCTGCAGAGTCTTTACTGCCACCTTTAGAATAGACGAAAGTGCAATGTCGCGGAAAGAGAAAGCCACGCGACGAAGACGAGACATGTGATATCCGATCTTCGGCTGCATTTCCTGAGTTAACTCAGTGTATATGTACAACCCAACAACCCAGTGTGCAGTTGATGCGCTTAGGAACAAACCAACTTGCTCCAGGATCTTCTGCAGCCACATAAGCGCGCAAGCAAACAGCCCATATAATGAACAGCAACATGAGCAAACTTGGCACAGATAACTGCTCCAAACAGTCACACACAGACACAATAAAAATTTCCCTCAACTCCTGCAGAGTTGAAAAGCCGCTGAAATGGTGTATACAAACTCGCCTTATCTACATCTTCAAACCAGGAGAGCTTCACTATGCGGCAGAGCAGTCGAATGAGATGGCCAAGTATTTCCTGTGCATTGTGCAGCAGATCTGCACTGCGCTGATAAAGATAATTCAGCAGAAAATTCCGGGTCTCCTCCTTCTGCTTGTCAGATATCTGGCCCCAGTACCGAGTGAAAAGGTTCATTAGCCCCGAGCTCGCAAAGATCAATGCCTGCATATTCGAAGAATGAGCCAGCACTGCCTGTAGCCTGGGCATATTTTCAGGGTTATTTACAAGAGGTAGAAGCACCTTATGGGCCTCATTCTGTTCTTCCTTTCCGCCTCCGCCGTAAAAGGCCTGGCACAACAGCTCCAGCTGCTGCACCTCCGCTAGATCTGCCATTGTATCACTACCTCTCAGAGCGAAGGATAGACAAGACGAAGCTGGGTCACTGATGCGACCTTCCCATCGCAATTAAAACTCCTAAATGCTAAAACGAGACACCAACACCGCCCTAGGCACACCGGGGCTCCTGTTAGACACCGGAGGTCTAGTGCATTTCGCGGGCGCTCAGGGAAATCAGCAGCCCTTTCCGATGTGCTAGATATCTGCTGCTGCGGCTTCCCCTACTGCTACTGTCACTGCTGATTCCGCAGATGGTCGTGAGGCTAGTGGGTTCGTGCCGGAGACTATGGAGCACGAAGCGGTCTTCGAGAGATGCAGCAACCCCACGACAAGATGCCCGTTATCCAACCCCCTACCCTTCAGGGAGTGTAGCTGCTCTTTTCAGAAAGCAAAGCAGCAGGAGGAGGTTGTAGCAGTAGGAAGGATTGGAAGGCAGAGTAGAGGGAAGGTTTGGACGTGGCTGCAGATGCGATATCTGGGGACGCCTCGCACGAAGGCCCGAAATTGGACTTTTAGTACGCAAACCCACAGGTGAGGTTATCAAACGAACAAAATATTAGGGGAGCCACCAAAGAAAAAGGAGCATCCGCCAGCACTAGTGTGGCGCTAGTTTGCACAGAAGGGGTTTCACGCAAAGGAGTTCAAGTTCGGCTGGAGGAACCATCATTCAATCACCGCCCCAGCCGTGCGGCCATAAAATCAGAATATGGTTTGAGACAAAAAAAGCCGTCTTTACACGAACCGCGTGGCCCCCAACAGGGCTCAGCAAGACACGCTGCATGCATTGCGCAAGCTACACAAACAGCAAATCCAGCCTCCGCCCCCCGCGGGCGGCTGTCTGCGTATTCCTGAAAGAATAAAGGATTCATTTAGCCCACTCTCTACTAATTATCTGGCCTACTAGAAGATTTTCTGCAGTCTTGGCATTCATTTTTTGTTCCCAACTGCAAGTCCTTCTCACCAGAAGGACGGGTGGAAAGCATTACAGACTAAGTGTTGCGCTGTTCTCTTGGCTGGCGCTGCTCAACACAGGCTCTTCAATATCCCTCGAACTTCGAAACCTCACAGTGTGCCAATATGACTTATTGCTGTATTTGTAGAAAGAGGGGGTAAGGATGCATGCACGGGGATGCCGCATCTGCGCGGGGTTGCATCATGGCGTACGGCAACCTGGAGCAAGCAATATTCAGCTGTTCGCTTTAGTCAACGGTTCAGCATGAGCAGTCTCAGGTATTCTGCTTAGGGAGTCGGGGCACCACAAGGTGAGCATCTGGGGACCGCATGGCTTGTATTCAGGACACTCTAGTAGCCGCAAGGGCTGTAGGTAGGTTCGTAAGCTTGTCCCTTGGCCTTGAGGAGACAGTTGATATAGATTACAGGCGTTTACAAGATCTGTACTACCCCAGTACACTGACAAGAAGTGAAGGCCAAGAAGCGTCGTTATTCTCAGTAGCAACGCATTACTACTTAGTTAGTTTTCTCTGAGTATTTACATTGCAGGAGTGATGGCCTGCCACTTTGCACTTCCAACAACCTAGAAGGAAAGGTTTTCCACGTATAGAGAGTCCCTGAATACTCTACAGAAAAACTGTTGCTCGAAAAGCGTCCACCACGCGGTAATTGCGTGCAGCGAGTGTGTGCCTTACAAAGTACGAGAGCGCTCATCACTCCACCAAACGAATAATGCACTGGCACAATGCCTATATACCCAGAGCTCATACTTTTTCCGACGCTACGGGTGTGCTTTTCGGACTCTCTCATATGTTTTCCTTTTGAACCAGAAGTCGCCAACTCCTGGGGTCGGATGAGACCATTGGGAAGGCCTGAGCTGCCATAGCGAATTGCCCGCTTTCCACAAGGTACTGGGAGAACACTGGTTTCGCTAGGCGAGTGGAAGCTCGTCAGTTACTCATCTTTGGGCAGATGGTAGCCAGTCTTTATGGTAAGCATAGTTTAGATCCATGGTGTGGGATGTAGGGCTTCATGCCACTTTTCGAAATTTTTTCTCCTGTTCTGGGGTGGTAAAATTCATCTCTCGCTTGGGCTGCTAAGTAGGTCGAGGAGGGGGGAACCAGCTATGATACGTGGAATACATCATGAAATTAATAGATGGGTGGCAGGGCAAGGCGGCAAGCCGCAGCACCGATGGGTTCGGTTACGTCAAAGCGTCAAGGTAGCGGGGATCAAACCTTGGGCAGTCTTTCAAAGCTGGTATATGCATGTTCAGGGCTGGTAGATGCTTGCTGCTGAGCAACAGTTTGTCACCCACCTCGTACTCCACCGCTCGTCGCTGTGAATCCGCATGGTATCTCTGTTGCAATTTCGCTCGCACTATGTGACCTGTGCCCCGTCACATAGGTGGTGGAAAAGCCTGGTCATGGGAGGGGTGAGGGTTGGGGCCAACGCTCCTACAATATCAAGGCCGCCAGCCCGGCAGCCGTAAGTGGGCTCTCACCAATCCTAACCTCGAAAGGTGAGAGCTCCTTGGACAACTGGCTGGTTGTGGTGTAGGCCAGCTACAGTGCAAGCAGTAAGCGCTCCCATTCCTGCTCGTCAGCCTGTGTGTATGTGCGCAGCATTTGTTCAATGGTGCGATAGACCGTTTCTGTTTGGCCATCACTCTGGGGATGGTAAGAAAAAGACATTGAACGCCTGATGCTGAAACGAGTACACAGCTCAGACTGGGAGCGTGGATCACGATCAGAAATAACTGTTTCTGGGAGTCCGTGGTAGCGAATCAGAGCTCCATAGTGCCAGCGGCTGTGAACGGTTTCCTGGCAGGGATAAAATGAGCTATTTTTCCGCGCGAGTCAGCCTGTATCTTTCCATGAAGTAGTGAGAGGCATATCAGTAATAAAATCGAGACTCACATGACTCCACAGACTTGAAGGAATAAACGGCTGTTGAAGGAGGGCGGCAGGCTTCTGCTTAAGGGATTTAGACTAGCGACAGTGTGTGTAGGGCTCCACATACGCCGTAGTATAGGCACGCATGCGTGGCCAATGGTAGTATTTACTCACAGCCAGGAAGGTCTTCTGGAGTCGATGCCCTGCTGTCACATGATCATGGTAGGTGCAAAGGACTCGCGTAAGGAACTCAAGGAACTGGCGCACAGATGCACTATATTTCATGATGCAGACGCTCAAGTGGGGTGCCACTTCACGAAAGGTAAGTTGGCGACTGCCGAATTCATATTGGACTTTTCCACCGATTCGTTGCACCGCGGCGTCTAAAGGGTTGCGAAAGACTGGAAACTTAGGGTAGGCTTGGCGTTGTGAGCCTCTGCATGTTCGGTTGCTCACATAAGTGGTGCTGGGGTCCCTCGTAAGGGTGTCGCGGGTTCGTTACGCCTGCTTAACTGACGTGAGGTAGGATAACACCTGAGAGTTGAGACAGCGTCTGCCAGCTGGTCTTGGGCACCTTGTATGTAAGTGATATTAAGATTTGGGAACTCAGCATGGGAGTCTAGCCACCGAGCCGTGAGTCCACACAGAGGCTTTGACACTCTGAGCTGTTTTAAAGGGATGTGGGCTTGATGATCAGTATGTGACGTAACCTTGGCAGCGCGTAGCAAGTGGGACCACTACTCCAGAGCAGTAACCAATGCTGCGTAAGCTGCCGTAGTGTTTATGAGTCTCTATCCAGCGGAAGTGAGCTTCCTTATGAGTAAGATCACGTGCGGCCTCGGCGAAATAACTGTGCTGAGAAACTGCCGCACTTGTATCTCGTTCGCCAACACCTACGGCCATACCCGCATAGCTTCTTTCTTCTCTGCAGCGGGTTTATTGCTCTCTGCCCTATTCCTATATTAAGTACATGAGTTTCCGCTTCGTAAGCTTGTACTTGCCGAACTTAGGAGAAAACTGGTGTTTGGGGAACGTACTTAACAATTGTCGTAGGAATGTAGCTTGGCTAGGGAGATCAGGGGTACGTGCAAGGAGATCGTTAGGATAGGCTATGACACCCTGTCCTAACAAGGGTTGAAGGTAGGCGTTGATATTAGCATGAAATGTACCTGGCGCACCCTTGAGGCCAAAGGGAATTACCCTATATTCGAATGGCCCCGTAACGGAGAGGAAGGCAATCTTTAACCGGTCTTCCTTAGCCATACTGATCTGATGAAAGCCTACTGCATGGTCAATAGTAGAACAGCATTTAACTCCCCCCACCATCACTATGATAGTTGGAATAGCCGGCAGTGAGAATTCAGGGGCCATCGTAAAAGCATTCTAGGCCTGGTAATTAACAACCATATGAATTTTCCGCTCCCCTGCTTATCCACCAGGACCGTAGAAGCGTAGATAGAGGAGCAAGTCGATCCTATCTACCCATTAGCCGACAACTTGGCTATCTCCTGCTTGTGGAAATTCAGCTGATCTGAAGTCACGCGATAGATGGCAGACTGTGCAGGTAGTTTCCCAGGCACCAGTAAGATATGATCGTGCGGCCGCTTCAGCGGTAGCCCAGCAAGCAGAGTATCGGTAAAGACCTGTCGGTGCGCACGCAACGATTCAAGTATCTCCAGTTGAGAATCCTCTGACTCTTCCGAGCCTGTCCACTCGTCGACACGGGGGTACTCGAGCGTAGCCGTAGACCACCGTGAGTTTGCCTCGTCCTCAGCACTCGTCGTGGCAGCCGGGGCTTCATGGCTGACTTCTCCGGCGTGTGTGGCGTAGTTCCCGACCAGTGCGCAGCAGAAGGCCTCTCGGTGTTCATCCGTAAACCTGAGAGCCACTGCCCCTTCGGTGTGGGGCACATCTAGTATGGGGTCTAGCCCCTGTAGCGGATCCCTGAGGCATTTCATGTCCGCATTAGCCTGTTGAACCAATGCGTCAACAAGCACCTTCACCCCTTCGCGTGGGACTAGTACCTCTTAGCGTGCGTGCTACAGCCTCCTCCCACGTCATATTTGCCAGCTGCTTGGCCAATATGTCATATGCCTGCCCCGCGGGGGACCTTTGGCGCGCTTCCACATCTGGCCATTTTCGAGTTTTCAGCGCTAGTTCAAACAATAGGTAACTCACAACACTTACGACTTGCATGGGTCCTCTGCTTGTTCTACTGAAAGTGCCAGGTAACCTAATGAGCACTTAGCTAACCAAGCCACAGTACTACATCGTAGGGGACAGGACACACTACGAACGCTTCCGAGAAGCAGACTCGTCCACACAGCATCGTCAGCCCCGTCACAACGCAACTGATCGCAGTCTTTTGGAAGTCGACGCACCTTAGATTGTAGATGTTCGACCGTCGGGAGATATGAACCACATCGAGGCCCGTATATCTAAGAGCGCCTCCCAGGTACTCCGTCCCACATTTACCCAAAGTTCCGCTGCCGTTCCCACACTACACAGCACGCCCCCTTTGCCGTAGCCCGCTCTTACACAGATCTCCTATCAGCCCTGAGTTACAACATCATTCTTTGCCTGCCTGTAGCCCCTCCTATCCCCTCAGCTTTATCTTCGCTTCTACTCGCCGCTTCGCGCATTGCCTCTTTGCTTCGTACCGATCTAGACACTGACACACACTGTTCAGCCGATGGTTGCTGACATTTCCTTACTTCACCAGCCCCTGCATTAGCTTGATTCCCCAAGTCAAGCAACTTCTTCCCCCACTATGGAGAGACTGGAATGGCGTCAAGTCCCGTCGCTCCTGCGCATATCACCCCTTTCCCATGAGTAGGTGGCCTAGCAAGTTCGTCTCCCACCATACCTAGGCTCTCTCGATTGAACGTTCATCCTTCCCTGCAACGGAACATGCTAACTGCCGAACAGACTTTCCCCCTGTCTCGATCCTCAATCGACCAGGCGTGGGGGAATCCTAGCGTAGTATCCCACATTTTCCCCTTTCTTACACGTTTTCCCGGGTCGCTTCGTATGCTCCCTCAGACTGGGAGATGTCCGTGCGTGGCACCCAACTCCCCTACACTCATATCAAGCTATTGGGCTCCTCTCCGGCCCATCTGCGCTAGCCCGGCCCTTGCGAGACCCCATTCGCCCCCATAACTCCCGCTCGCAGACCCCAGTGCTGTGAATATGCGTGCTTCGAATCCAACACTCCAGTGGAGCCGTTTCGGGCTCCACGTGGAGTGCCAACACCTTCGCAGTCTCCTCCCATGTTGGATGCTGTGCCCGACCGTCAACAGTAATGGCGAGGGCTATTTCTGTGGAAAACCCAGAGCAATAAAGGACTGCCTGTTCTGCTGGGCTAACCGCTACCTCGCACTCTACAACGGCAGTAAGCCACTCAGTATTAGCGTGATCTCCTGTCTGCCGAGATTCGGCCAATTACGCCATCATCTCGCTTCTATTTATCTCGCGCCAGAATCTTCCACGCTGCCGTTCTTTCACAGTTACCAATTTCTAAGGTCTACAGTTTCCTGTACGTACGTCCAGTAGCGTAGAGCTGGGCCCGCTAGGTACCCCACAAGCTCGCTAGGTGAAGCCCATCTCGATGCGTAGTGCGAAAGCGTACGCAGTGCTCCCGCCTTCCCGTCGCGTCAGAAGGAACGTTGAGAGGGCCCTATACGCTCTAGACTGTTCCATTATTCCCTTTGAAACGTCCATCATAGCCGTGGGCTGCTTCCCTGCGAGGGTCGGACCGGCGGGGGAAGACTCGTATCCCCGAGGAGGTGCGGCTGTGGGCATTTGCTCTTCATGCACCTGCTGCTCCCGTGCATTCGGTTTCGGCGTATCTGAGCGGTGGTGAACCAGTTACCCACTAGGTAATCGGTGTGAGGGCATAGTAGGTTTCGTCTGTTCGGCTACACCCATGACCCGTGCGCTACCTAGGTGCATCTCCTGCAGAACTGCCCTTAACTGACTGGCGATGGGACTGAGACACGTCTTGCTGATTACTTCCACCCATCGTTGAAATAAAATTTCCTGGAACGGCCCAAATTGTAGTTGACAGTGCTCCCACCTGCCACGACTTCGCGGCCGTATGCAAAACCATTTAGGTGCACACTGGGTATATATACGTTGCACTCAGTGCATAACCCTTGAAATAACCTTAAAATAACAAAGAATAGTCTCTTCCTTCTTATCTGCGCCCCGTTTTCCCAGTAGGGAGAGTAATAACAATTCTTTTTACCCACTGACCTCCTAGTGGGTCAGCGCATTGGCGGCAGTGCCAGCCTCACAGCCAGCCCCAAACCCTGGGTTGCTGCCGAGCAGTTGTAGCCCATTGGCCCTATTTCCTGTCCAGTGTGAAATGATTTCTTTGTAGTAAGATATTACTTGCACTCTTTCAGCCGGATGGACCTTTAGAGGCCCAATTAGAGTACCACAGTACCGCCTGCCCTCTATCGTCCGTGTGTACTGTGTGGCAATATGCAGGAGTGATATGCGCAGCTTTACACCTTGCGAATCCCCTACTCCCTGGTCATGTGCTTTTAAAATGTTGAATATTGTTTCCAGGAAGAGCTGGGGATTAGTTCCACTGCACCTTCAGTTGCTGTCATCAGCGACGGAGTGGGCTCAGCTCATGACGGCATCTCCGCCCGGCGCAGCAACCGTCTCCACAGAAGCACAAACCCTAAACACCAGCTTCTTGACGCTAGATGTATGAAGCCACATATTTCCTGGAGCGTGTACCTCCCTGTTCTCCCCATTCGTGGCATCGTCAGTCACCCTCGGGGGCCCCCAAAGGCCAAGGGGCCCCCATGTCGCTCCCGATATCGCGGCCGGAACAGCAGCGCCGGCGTCTGCTGTTGCTGCTTGTGCTGAGCTTCATCTTATGTGTTTGCTCCAGCTGCCTGTGCTTCACGCCAAGACGCCTTCACACCAGGAGGGCCCCACACGGGGGGGGCACGGCGGAGCCCCGCTGTGTTGCACGTGCAGGAGCCGGCGCCTCAACAGCGATATCTCGTCCTCCATCGTTCTTGACGGCTCATCACCGCTGCCTCTCTCTAATGAGCAGCACTTCTTCTCGTCCCGTGTCATCAGTCAGTGCGGGTGGCCCCCAGGCGGGAGGGGGAGGAGATGGCCCTCAGCCTTCGATAAGTCCCCGGGTGCAAGCTGTGCTAGACCAACTGCAACAGCTCACTCTTCTTGAAGTGTCTCAGTTGGTGCGGCAGTTAGAGATGGTCTTTGGAGTCTCTGCTGCATCTGCGCTCGGTCCGGGAGCAGCAGCAACACCAGCGGAAGCGCCGGCTGGTTGTCAGAGTGCAGGGGTTTCAGGGGGCTCAGATTCGCCTGATACCCCTGAAAAGACTGAATTTAGGGTAGTGGTGAAGGCTGTGCCCACTGCTAGTCGCATTTCTGTGATCAAGACACTGCGAAGTGTACGCGGAGATTTAGGACTGAAGGAGGCAAAGAACTTTATCGACTCTCTACCCAAAGACGTAACCGAAAACGTCAGCAAAGTTGAAGCACAGAAGATCTTCGACGCCCTTAAAGCGGCTGGAGCTGAGGTGGAAATGGTTTAAACTTAGTATCCTGTGGAGTTTCTCTTTATTGCCCGAGCCGCGCGTTCCCTCGGTTGTGGGTACCCCATCTTTTGCACCGAAAATCCCCCATCTCCACTGCGTACGGGCATTCGTCTAGCAGGCACGCGATCATGCCTCTCTCAGGATAGGGGAGGCCTGGTACGAGGAACGGCATCAACGACTGTCGGAAGTGCATTTGCACTTCCGAAGACCTTCGACGCCCGTAAAGCGGCTGGAGCCGAGGTGGAAATGGTTTAAACTTAGTGTCCTGTGGAATTTCTGTTTATTGATCCCCCTTAGTGGGATCGGGTAAACGGTAAACGGCACAGAGGGCCTGTGGCAGGTCCTTCCATTACCCTGGAAAAAGCATTTCATGCGTTTGTGTCTCTGAACAGTTTGCGGAGGCTGTGCTGCCGAAGGGACCTCTAGGGGTCCCCGAACTCATTATTTGTGTCTCCAGGAAAGCCCCACTCAGTTGCACTGCCCACTGCTCGGCTTGAGCAGGGGGACCTCGTGCAGTCCTATCGGGCCTTGTAGAGCATGAATCAAGTGGAGGGACGACGCCTCACGAACACTTTTAGCTTTGAGAAGGTTGGTCCGTTGCCCTCATGCTTAGGACAAGAATAACCACCGAGCACAGTGAAGTCCCTTAGAAGGGCCCAAGTCTTGCGCCACCCGAAATTTAAACCCTTTGCACGGCAATTGAAACTACGGCGCGTTCTGCTCAAGTGGGCGCCGAGCCTGCCGATGTCGCAGTTTTTTGTGGAGTGATTTTGTTCCCACCGTTTTCTGCTGCCCAGAGGGGCCGACTGCATCGAATGCCCTATTAAAAGAGTAAGTTTGTTGTTGCGGGGAGGCAATTGCTGCGCCTTTGGCCGTGAAGGAGCTATATACTTGACCAAGTAGTTCGTAGAGGCAAAAAACCTGCGAAATCCCTTTACAATGGCATCTACGGATTCCCCGCAGGGCACGCTTTATAGGAAGGCTGCATTTGGGCACAAATGCACTCTTTATTGCTCATGATGGGAGCTAACTGATTTTGAATTCGAGAAACTGCGCCTCGCCACATAAGAGCCAGAAGGCTTCCCGAGGCACCCACTTTTTTGTGTCTAAGAAGTCGAAGTTTTTCATAAGGGGAAGGGGAGGAAGGCAGGCTTCATTGTTACGTGATCTCGATGAAGGGGGGCCACCGGCGGAGCGAGGTCGCTAAGTGCCCAGCCATGGGGTCTCCATACAAAGATTGGAGAAAGGATACCCTCAAAAGTAAAGAAACAGTTACATATCCCAGTTACATAGTTACATATCCTGTGCGCACTGATTTTGAGAACTGGAGTTCCGTCGTCAGCTGTAGCCCAAGGGTCGGGAGTGTTGTTGCAGGTAGCCAGCCCCCAGCTGTGTCGGCGGTTTGTTATGCATGAGTTTCCCAACTGAGATTCATGCTGCATTTCAACAGTCTGAGGGGATAATAAACCACTTCAATCAGTGTTTTTTCACCACACATGGCTCCACACCAGGAGAATGCATATCCCTAACACTGTACTGCTGCAACGTTAGACAAACGGTCAACCCTTATCGTAGACCGAAGCAGGCCGGCCTTCGACGGGCTCCTCTTCTGCAGCACTATCCTTATGCCGCGAAGGGTTTGAGGAGCCCAGCCAAAGTAACCAACTTTGAGGAGAAGCACACCGCTATCGATGAAATCCGTGTCTCCTGTATTTTGGGGCCTTTGGAGGGCCCCTCGGGCGCCCTTCGTGTGTATTTTTACCATACATAGGGCCCCCTTCGCGACTTTAGGAGCTTTCACCACAAGTACCTGCACGCAAACTAACATTTCCCACCGCAGCCACAACAGCAGCGGCAGCGGCAGCAGCAGCAGCGGCAGCAGCGACAGCAGCAGCAGCGACAGATGCAGCAGCACCAGCATTAGAAGCAGCACCTGCAGCAGCAGCATAAAGAAGATACGGGTTCCCGTCCTCATTGTTGGAGGGGGCCCTGTGGGCCTGACTATGGCGCTGCTGCTACAAAAAGGAGGTGTCCCAACTTTGCTGCTGGAGCAACAGGCAAAAGCCACCTGTCTCCCCAAAGCACATTACATCACGAACAGATCTATGGAAAGTAAGAGGATGGTGCTGCTGCTGCATGGGAGACGCCGCGTTTGCTTTGGCTTCTGCCGTTAGTGGATAACCAACATCTCCTCGCTTTTTTGTTTCTCTCTCTCTCTGGCCCCCGTACCTGCCGATGTTGTTAGCTGCTTCAGCTTTCCGTGCACAAGCAAGAGTTAGCTGAGTACGCTACTCACCAGCACAGGTGCTTAGGACGGCTAGCTGCTCAGGCCTACTACGAGATAGATAGTCCACAAGAATAGGAAGCTTCGCTCTTGTCAAATGGCGCCTAAATTACCTGCGCAACTATCAGGGCCGTCGGTAGCTGACTGCCTAGCAGAACACTGGCCGCAGACCTCGTTGGCGCATCAAAGAGGCCAGCTGGCTAACTAGGTGGCTAGATCGTGTTCTGGCTATGGATCCGATCTAGCTACGGCGACAGTTGGTGGCGAGTGCGTGTGCTGCAGTTTGGCGCCAGCTGGGCCACTTAGACCTCCGCGTCAGTGCACTTTCTCCTTGTCTGGACGACTGGAGATCATTCATTTACACTACCCAGTTGAATTGCATTGAGAAGAACTACATAGCGGCGGTTGACCACTTCAACGGTAATTAGTAGCGCTGCTGTTTCATTCGTTGCACCTACTGCTTTTGCTTTCGCTGAGGTACTGCTGATGCTGCAGGAGTTGCGTGATCTGTCGCTGTTGCGTGCGATGCTTGTCTCTGCTGGTGTTGGTACTGCATCATCTGCTGTTTGGGGTGTTCCTCCCTGCGCTACTGGGATGCGTGCTGCTAATAGTGGCGGTGTTGCTGCTAGGAGCGTTGCAGCAGCTTATGCGCTTTGCCTGCTTCTGCTGTTGGCGACAACACCATTGTTGTTACAGCTTGTGTTGCGGCAAGGGTTGGCTTTTGCTGCTACTGCTGCAGCTGCCTATGCTGCTGCTGCATTTGCTGGTGCTGCTGCTACAGGTTTCGAAGAGGAAAGGCTCCCTGATGGTTGCGTGACCTACAAGGAGACCGCTAGCCCTTGCCGCATGACTCAGTTGTCGCAGAACCTGCTGCTTCCTCTTTTGTACAAAGAAGCAGAAGCACGGGCCTCGAAGGAGTGGGTTAGAGGCTTTGCACAAGGTGAAACGGCTGCGCAGGAGCGTAAGGAACAGCCCCACCTAAAAGTGCCACTGCACGGAAGCCAGCCAGGGGGCCCTCATGGTGAAATGAACAATGGAAGGAACCGTTGTGAAGCATACATCCCTCAAGCAGCAGCAAGAGGACAAGAGCCGCAGCCAGCGGCCCTTGGCCTGCTGCTGAGTGCACAATGGGAAGGAGCTACGCAGGAAAGCCGCAGCGGGAGCTCAGGGACCGACAGCCCCAGTGGTCCACTAACATCCGTGGTGTGTGTGGGAGACAGCAATGGTAGTGCGTCTCTCTGGGAGATAACCAGCGACCTTGTTATTGGTAGCGACGGAGCGGGGTCGAGAGTGCGAGAGTGGAGTGGCTCGCCGCTTGTTGGGGGCCCTCCCCTCCAGCACTTTTTAAACGTAACATTTCGTTCTAACGAGCTTGTGGAGGCCATCCAGCGCCAAGATGATGGTCCAGCAAGTAGTCCTTCAAGGAACTCTCAAACGATCTCCGACAGCAGTTCCAGCCAAGGGGCCTGTCAACCAGAGGACAGTGTGTGGGGCCCGTCGTGGGGTTCTCCAAGGGGCCCTGGATTCGAGTTTTTGCGCCGATTCAAAAGTCGTGGCATGCTGTATTACGTGTTGGGTCCTCGGTGCATAGGTGTCGTTGTTTGTCATTGTTTCAAGACAGGCTTGTTCGTGGCTCACATCCCTTTCTTCCCACTTAGTCGCGACGACAAGATGGTGGATTTGGGGACCACTGGAGACAAAAGACAGGCCGCCAACCTGATCGAAAACCTAGCGGGAAGGCGCCTCAGGGACATCCAAATTCAGGACGTGAGGCCTTGGCAGATGGTTGCAAAGGTGGCCGCCCGGTACTTGCCATGCGGATACATTTCGAGATCTACAGAAGGCAACTCCAATCGTTCTGTAGAGGCTCTCTCTCCTTCAGGTCTGCAGACCGAGGAAGGCTTCGCGAGAGAGAATGGTATCTCCTGGGGACCCATTAGGGGCCGTGTGCTTCTGGTAGGAGATGCAGCACACTGCTTGCCTCCCGCAGGGGGCCTGGGAATGAATTTGGGCATTGCGGATTGTCTGAATGCCGCCTGGAAGATTGCCCAGAGCTACCATCTCCGGCAAGGTCCGTTCGCGCCGCCGCAACAACGCCAGCAACAACAGCAGCAGCAAGAGCAGCAGCAAAAACAAACGGATCCGGCAGGGAAGATCTTGGGGAGCTATGAAGAGGAACGCAGACTCGTGGCAGAGGTGAGCCCGGAGCTTGACGGGAAGTGCACCGCCCTGTACCAGCTTGGCAGCCCCAGCAGCAACCACGGCAGAAGCAAGACTAACCGTCTGTGTCTGTTTGTGTCAGTACACCTGCGCCGTCGCCCGTCAAAATTTTTCGTCTGGGCGGTGCATTCCCGAAGTACTAGGACTGAAATGGGAAGCTGCAGCAGCAGCAGCAAGGGCGCTGGCTGCAGCCTCTGATGCTGCAGCATCTACAATAGCAACTGCAGCAGCAGCTATGAGACTCAAGGGGATAACGGAAGCGGCAGGAGACGCCTCAACACGAATCGCCAAGAAGGCCTTTGAATGCTTCATGAGCATTGGGAGGGTGCAGGTAAGAGTACCTGTAGCTGTTGTATCTGCTGAAGCAACTGGTGTGGGTATTGCGGCAAACGGGCAGCTTCTGGTTCTTGCCTAGCTTTTCACGTGTATCTGGGTTTTCTGTTCGCATCATACAGACATAAGCGTGCGTTGTGCATTTGTGCATGCGCAGTTGCCACAGACAATCTGCTTTTTTGTTTACACTTGTACCTACGTGTCTACTCTAGGCAGCCTTTCAAATGGCGTTGGGGCCTCTTAGAACCAAAATGCTGGAGACGATTCGCGTGCTGCTAAGTAGCGAGGAGACGCATCTGGGCCTCAGGTTCCAGGGTGTTGACATGGGCTATGCGTACACTAAGTCGGCCCTTATGGGTGAACGCGATGGGGGCCCCCCTACGCTGCAGGTACGACGCACATGCAGGCGTAATATTGTCGGTCAACACATGGAAAGCAACAACGGAGTTGCTTCCAGTAGGGAAGGCGAAAGAGCTGCATGCACACAAAAATGGCAGTTAGAGGGACTGTTGTCTTGAAGGAAATAGAGAAAAAAAAGACTAATTGGGAGACATAATGAGGTGAGATAGCCACTGCTGGTGTGGGTGCCAGGTGTCCGAGTCCCCCTGGCGACTGGTCCCTACGTCGTGGCTTGGAGCCCGCTTGCCCCATGCTCCAGTGAAGGCCCTTCTTCACTACAGTGAAAATGAACCCCCAGCAGGTGCGTGCACTTGCTTTACTTTCCAACATATCCCTTTTCCTAGCCGATTGTCACAACATCCTGCCAGGACTCCCCTTTGCTCTACTTGACATCTCGTCAAGCAAACCTCTTATGTAACAGTGCCGCAACTTATATTATCAAGCTTTGCGGAAGCAGCTTCTGCAGCGTTCTGCAGCGCTTCCATATTGGACCTGAAAGCGAGCGGCGTGAGCAGAGAGAAGAAACAATACAAGGGGAATATATCCTGTCCTTGCGTCGTCTGGTGCAGCCTATGAGCTGTCGACTGTGGATCTGCCGGCCCTTGCAGTCCCTTCATGCAGTTACTGTTTTCTCTTGCTTTCGGAAGCGCACGAGAGTCGTCTCTTTGCTGCGCTAAGCAAGTGGAGACAGAAACACAGAGCGGCAGCACCAGCAAGTGCCTTACCTCCTCCTCGGTACACAGCAGCAGATTTCGTCTTCGGGATTACGTGGACATCAGAATTCATTGCTAAGACTGCTTCACCGCCTGGCTGGGCCCCTGGCCCCTTAGAACCTTTAAAACTCAAGCAAGACACACTTGCAGTGTTAGGAGCAGGGCCCCCAAAAGCTCGCCTCCCGTTTGGCTGGAGGCATGTGACAAGCCCCCCAGATGTTAAGAGTAAAAATGCCCAACACTTTAAATCCCACCAGCAGATACATAAAATCCAACGAGGATTGCCTCTGCCAATATCCGCCCACCCAAAATTTCGATACCCTCTGCCACAATTTATAGCCTTGACTCCAGACGCTGGACGCTGAATTGTGCGGGTTGTTTGTTTGTGTAGGCTCCTTCGCCTCAACTGTGCTGTCAACAGAGACTCAACAAACCATCCAACCAGAAAATCTTTTGCTGTTGTTGAGGCCGGATGGCCACATCGCAGCAATGTGGAATGCGCGATCACTTCAAGAGGCGACACTGTTCAGCTATCTCGACGGTTTATTTTGAAGGCCAAACCTTTGGAGTTCTTGTGTATTCCGCCTGTCGCTCGCCTGTGGCGCCTGTCTGTCTTGGTGTACTTCCCAAATTGGAACTGGCGAGTCCCCAAATACAGGATTCAGGTAGGCTTCTAAAGGTTTGCGGCAGCACGAGACCCTTGGCCCCGCATAATCCAGTACGCATATGCCTAGAGTTGTATTGGTGGTAGTGGAATAGATACAGTGTGCGGTGAGCGTGCCAGGATACACATAAAATAGGGAGAATCTTTACGGGCCAGAATTTACTTGAGCCTTCACTTGCATATATATATACAAGTGAAAAAAATATACGTGCATGTGAGCGTCTACGCTTATATATATTTATGCTTGCATTTTTGTAGAGTCCCGTGTATATGATGCACAAATGATTAGATATCAGCACGCATATGCAGATTGGTCCACAATTCGATATCTGTGTGCGTGCGTACACATGTTCTTCTAAGCCAAAGTATTTTACTTGCACCCGCACATGCGATTTCCATGCGCAAATGCAAAGGATCGTATGCATACAAATACTCGCACGCGTACATGAACACACGCAGGCGTTTTTCTATGGAATGCTACACACCGATGCATTGGCGCTTCCAGTCAGGCCGCAGGCACGTAATCTGCTCAGCTAAAGATCCTTATTTTACATGCAGTCCCACGCGGATCCGTCTTTGCCCCTCCATTTGGACGGCTAGGCCTTTGCGCTCTCTATACTGCCAAAGGAAGCACTCCCTTGACACCAGTGCATGTTCCTGGTGGGGCTTCATGGGCATTTAACTCGTGCTCGTGTCCGTGTGCAGTTCCCTACATGACGTATGCATCACTGTGCACGCTGCTGCTCTTCTTTATTCGTACGAATAGACACTCGGCATGCACGCTCATGTGAATAAATGGTAAGCACGCACGTGAACCATCCTAGCGTGTCCTGAATCACATAAGCCCATTGCCATCAGTGAGACTGAAACGAAGCTGAACATTTCAATTTTGTTATTTCTGCGTCGTTACACAGTCAACAAAGAGTATTATTCCACAACATTGCACGTTTCTCAGCGCAGAAGGCCCCAACACAGGCTGCCTGTGTTTAAAGTGACCCCCAGGGAACGGATTCTACCTTTGTGCGAAGCACGCTGCTTATGAATACTGCTGGGTCTTATGGCTTCGTCGGGGCCAAGGGCCACCGACAGCATTCAAATCTTACAGCATTCGAATGCAATGTGGCCCGAGCTCGAGAGCCCTTAAACTCCGAGGGGGCCGCTCCCTCTGTAAAGCCTCCATTATGACATCAGCTGCAAGGGACCTCCCAGTC